CCCTCCCCCCCCAGGTGCCCCCGATGCGCGGATTTAGGTATTCGCACGCACGGGGGCGACTTCGCTATTAGTATATAGATGGAAGGAGAGAAAACAGTCTTACAAACGGATTGCTCTAGAGAAGCCTGCAAGCATTTTTTTAAATAGTGCATATTGTTCAGAAACATTCATCACTGAAACTTTCCACTTTGATTATAGTGGAAAGGTTTAGATTTCACAAGAGGCACCAGATGGAAAGTGAATGTTTTCTCATTTAGAGCAGTTGTTCGTGAAAAAGAGCAGTTTCTGTCAAGAGTTCTCTCAGCTCCACCTACCTCACAGGGTGTCTGTTGTGGGGAGGGGAAGGGAAAGGAGTTTGTAAGCCGCTCTGAGACACCTTTGGTAGTGAAGGGCGGGGTATAAATCCAATCTCTTCTTCTTCTTCTTCTTTTCCATTTCAGCTTATTAAAAAAGGACCCTGGTCCTAATGTTTGGCACCCTGGCGTTATGACACCTCCCCCCCTTTTGGTGGATGGTGAACCGCACTTTGAAGTGTCATGCATCTTGGACTCAAAGTTGAAACGCAATAAAGTCTTTTACCTTGTGGAGTGGAAAGACTTTGGTCCCCAGCACCGGGAATGGGTGGAAGTAGGGGATATTTGGGGCCCTGACCTTATTCGTGCATTCCATGAGGAGTTACCGGGGAAACCGGGAGAATCTCCCGGGTAGTCCAGGAGAATCTTTGGGGGGGCAGGATGTCAGTAAACTGCCATTTGTATTCTGTGTATGCTTTGTGTAACCTGCCTGCTGTATGATGGGAGGGAATTAGCTCTGTTGCTCTGTTCTCATCCTCCCTGTGCACTTTATCTCTTGTTTTGACCTTGGAATGCTTTTGCTGCCTTTGTAGTAGGTAAGACTGTGAGAACCGTTGATAGGGTCGTTCCCAATCTGGCTGGTGTGAACCAAACGGCTGAAAGGCTATCTCCCGCCTTGGTTTTCTCCCGGTCGAATTTCTGCTGAGCACGAACTGTATTCATTGGCTTAACCTTTTTTTTAACTGTCTATATCTGTACACGCTTGGCTTTGAGTTTCATTTTTGACAATGACCATGAAAGTGTATCAATAGTGACTTGTATTAAAGCAACCTATTCTTATGAATCGTTGTGGACTGCAACTGCTGTATTGAACCTGACAATCCCTCCGTAGCGAAAAAACCCCAACAGAAACACACACACCCCGGAAATAACCACACTTGAAACTTTTCAGCCTCCACTTAGGGCAGGAGGCAGAGTGAGTTATTTAAGTTGCCTTTAATTAAATTACCCAGTGCCCCCCAAAAAATTCAAATGCCCCCGACTTAAAAAATCCTGGCTACGGACTTTAGAGCTGAATGCTGAGGAAAAGCATTCATTTGGAATTCAGCCCTGACTGAAAACAGTTTAACACAGACAGAATTTGTAAAGTTGGCAAGGACTAGTAGGTAGTTAGATGGAGACTCCCATTCAGGCCAAGGAAAGGGGATAGATCTTCTAGAGAGGAAAGGAATTTCCCTACCCAGTCTAAACAGGGTGATAGCTCTGAAGACTGCAGAGATCCCTGGACTGGTGTGGTTAGAAACCACCTTTAGAGACCTTAAGAGTCAGTTAAAAACTCAAGACGAGTACTGGTGTTTCAAGAGAAGGGGTTTGGGTACTGAAAAGAGTGTAATAGCCTTCTGGAAACCAAAAGAGTCAGTGAACACTCAAAGAAAGTGTACTGGAGTGTTTGAGGAAAACACTGGAATGAAAGCCTGTCAACATAAAGATTTACGTCACTGTGAAAAGCATAAGAAACTCTCTTTAGCCTGAAACATAAGAACTAAAGTCTGTGCATGTGCGGATTTTACCTCAGATTTATCTATATTGAGTTGCCTCAAAAATTTCGCCCTGATTTCACCTGACCTTTCCCCTCTATGTTGAATAAAATATTTTGCTAATTTGGAATATAAAAACTTCTCAAGTGCCATTTTAAGCAGTTTAAGTTAAAGGGGGCTCCCATTCCTTCCCTCAGGTTCCTAAACTGAGCAAACAGCCATAATATCATACTGACACAGGGTGAGATAGCCAGAATTCTTCAGGGGAAAATAAAACAGACAACTAGGGCAACTCAGGCATGAAGGGGGGGGGGACTGAGGGGGGGAATCATACATACAAAAACAGCATCATGATGAAATTTTGCCTGACATTCTCTTTTCATATCAGGTGTGAACAAGTAATACATTAATTGTATTCTGAAGAATATTTCTGAAGAAGTGAGCAGTGACTTATGAAAGCTCATGCCCTACCACAAATTTTGTTAGTCTTTAAGGTGCTACTGGACTCTCATTCTTTTCTACCGCTACGGACAGACTAACACAGCTACCCATCTTAATTAATTGTATATGTCTGTGAAGTTTATATTCCTACCATGACTCTATCCTTTAAAATAAAGGGAATACAAATTAGCATTGTTTAAAAGAACAGGAGGGAATGGAAGCAGGGAAGAGAAGGATAAGAGGCAATGTATTTAAGGCACAGTAGGAGTTCAGATTTGGCTTAAAATGGGGGGCATAAGAACAAGTGCTGGGGTGTGTGTGAAATTTTCTTTTCTGAATATTTGTATAGAGGGGCTGGACTGGCACCCATCTGGGATTTTAGTAAGGTGAGTCCAAAGAGTCCCTCGAAGCTTTATGGTTTAGGCTGCGTGGTTCTGGATGCATAGAGACAATTGCCAAAATCCAGCACACCCAGGGCTTTCCCACTAATGACTGGGGAATATACTTGGGCCCCTTTCACATTACCGTTCTAAACCAGATGTTATCCATTGCTGGCCGAGTTCCAAGTAAAGTGATACAGGGATGGAGGTTTCATGCAGCAAATTTCATTCTGTTAATGAGCCATCTGGTCATTTCAAACAGTGCTGCACTTCCCCCTGCCCTTTTTTGCCAAGCGGTTTTTCTTGGACTTTTTTTGGTGAACATTCTAAGTTGAGCACTATAGCGCTAGACTTCAGTGCTACAGCAGCACCATTGAGATACACTGAGATTGCGGACGTTGTTAGTGTCAGGTTCCACAGCAAGTAACTCTTCACACATGTTTCCTGAGAAGCGTTATGCTTTATTAGAGTACAAAACCGGTACCATATCCACAGGATTATTGTTAGGAATAACTATAGGGTGGGAACATCTGTACATATAGCCAGACGAGGCAAATAGCTAAGCAAATGAACTTCGAGCGCGCGCAGGGGAATTCTCCCGGCGGAAAGTTACATAATGAGCGGGAGACTCGCAGGGCCCCTGAGAGCAGAAAGATTCACACCAGTGGTGGACCGCAAGCCCTCCCATCCTTACAAGGCCAGACTGATAATGCCGTCTAGCCGAGCCAGCTCCCACGGTCTCTGAGGCAATGTTTACGCAAAGCTGCTGAGCTGCGAGCAAGCGGGAACGGAAGGACAGAAACAACATAAAATAGCAGCTAGCTGACAGAAAGTTCTGTAACACCAGTCACTGATGCCCTGAGCACCCACTGTCCAATCAGCTACTTCATTCCTCCTGTACCCATGTAACATCAGCCATAATCTCAATGCATTTCAATGGGGCCAAGGCATCTCAATGGTACTGCTGTAGCACTGAAGTGCTATATTGGTCCAGCGCTATAGCACTCAACTTAGAACATTCAAAAAAAAAATTGAGAAAGATCACATGGTGAAAAAGGGTGGGGGGGAAATGCAGTGCTATTTGAAGTGCAGCAGACATTTTAAACAGCACAGTACAGCGATTCAGAAGCCCAAAGAGGTGAAAATGGAAGAAAGTAGTTTACTTCAAGAACGGCTCAACCATGCTTTGCTAACCAGATGCAAGCAGCTTTGTATGAAAAGGTAAATAAAATCCATTAGCAGCCAGTTGCTAAAACAGTTGTGTCTGAAATGACACAAAAAAATCCATTAGCAACCAGCTACCAAAACAGATTTAAAAGGCTGTCTGGAAGGGGCCTTGATCTCTGAGTGTAGGGATTTCTTCAGGTGACACTTCCCCCTGTCATTTCTTTGTACACAACCCCTCGGTCTTGGGCCTGCACATGTCTTCCCATACACTCATCACACAGAGAAGATGGTGCTTGATCCAAGACCTCTCACATTCAAATACAGAGTGTATGAGCAGCAATTCAGTCAAACTGCTTTAAAGAGGGCAAAGAGACACACAGAGATCTTGTATCTCCCCGCCCACAGTCAAGACTAATGGTATCCATGAGTGATTGCTATGAGATGGAGCCACCTTAGCTTTCTATACATAATAGTCTTTGGCCACAAGTCCTCCAAGACTCAGTAACACCAAGTTCTTTGGAATCCAGTCCCACAGAACACCTTATAATTGAAAAATTAAATCAATGCACATACACAGCCTTTTTCTTTGAGAATTCATACACCATCAGTATCCTGAACACTGCTTTCCTGCTGCCTCTGATTTGTTTAGTAAATTTCTCTCATTATATTTCCCTTCTTTCCTATCACAACATTTATTTAGGCAAATTCTCACAACCTTTTTTTTCTTCAAGATTAGCAATCACAGATTAATATTAGTAACTGTACTTCGTGTCCCAAGACCAGAATGGCATTTTATCCTAGCAAAATCCCTGTGAAATAGCTTAGGCTGAGTGATTTACAACAACCATTGTGCTCTTGCCAGTAACATTCTTGCTTTCAGCCCTGAATTTACCTTTCTTACTGCCTATTCCTGGGGCAAGGGGGAGAAAGGAAAGACAGAATAAACTGGCACTGGTGATTTTAAGGGTGGTTTTTTGTTTTTTTTTTGCATAAATTCATATTAAAATTGATTGTTACAACTTTGAGAAGCTGCTTCCTACTCAAGTGAACTTCTTTTAACACTGAAGGAGGCTTAATAATGTGAGTTTCATCCTTATGGAAAGAAATGTCCATATTTTGCATACAGTTAACAGCCTTCTTGCTCCTTCATCCTGAAGCCACTGTTTGGCCACTAGAGGCCTTATTGCCATTAGCAAAGATTCTAAATTACAGAGGAATGCACAGAGTGTCTGATCACATATTTATGTATTATACTTACTGGGATGGTCTAGGCAGAGCCTCTATGGTTAGAGGCTAGAATCCTGGAGTTACTGGCAGTTGGGAAGCTGCAACAGTCCCAAACATTTCCAGGCCTTGCTGTTTACTTTGACTATGCCTAGCCACCTTGCAGATTGGAGGGACTGCAGTTCTTAGAAGGCAGAGCCTCAGAGGGTCAGATCTTCTCAGCACATATCCTGCTCTTCCTGGAGTGTTAATAGAAGAACAGCAAATAACTGAGCAGCGAAGAGAAAGTGGAAATGGAGGTTCCCAAATGCAGCTCACATTCCTACCCCAAGTTGTGGTCCCGGCTTCGGGCACTTGCTTGCCCTTCTTGGAGATCAGAGAAGAACAGTGAAAGCTACACTACATCTCTTCATTGTGAGGCCCTAAACAACTATAAGGAAGTGGACACACAGCCTTCTACCAACAGTATTCTAGTCTCTCTGTACAAACATCAGCCCCGTCTTTCAGCAGCTTCCGTAAGTGGTTGGGTGGCACCATCTCCTCCTCCACCACCAGCAGTAGAATATAGCTGTGAGTTTGGCTCTCTAAAGTATCTGATACTGTGTTCCCTGGGTGGTGTTGTGAGCTGTGGACTGACTCACACAGCTGTAGTGCCACTAGATGTGGTGAAATGCCGGATGCAGGTGGAACCTAAACGTTACCGTGGACTTGTGCAAGGCCTTACTCTTACTGTGCAAGAGGAGGGAATGCATGGTCTGGTCAAAGGATGGGCCCCAACAGCCATAGGTTACTCTATGCAAGGACTTGGCAAGTTTGGCCTTTATGAGACCTTTAAGATACATTATGCTGAACTGTTGGGTTCTGAACGTGCTTATCTGTGGCGGACCAGCCTCTACCTGGCTGCCTCAGCCAGTGCTGAGTTCTTTGCTGACATTGCTCTGGCCCCAATGGAAGCAGTCAAGGTACGAATTCAGACCCAGGAAGGCTATGCCAACACACTGCGGGAGGCAGCTCCAAAGATGTTCATTGAAGAGGGGCTGTGGGCTTTCTACAAAGGAGTGGCTCCACTCTGGATGCGCCAGATCCCTTATACCATGATGAAGTTTGCCTGTTTTGAACGAACTGTAGAGGCTCTCTATAAATATGTCATGCCCAAGCCCCGTGATCAGTGCACCAAAATGGAACAACTTGGAGTCACCTTTGTTGGTGGTTATATTGCTGGCATCTTTTGTGCTATTGTCTCACACCCAGCTGACTCTGTGGTCTCTGTGCTCAACAAAGAAAGGGGCAGCACTGCTGTTGAAGTCCTCAAGAGGTTGGGCATGTATGGCATCTGGAAAGGCCTCTTTACCCGTATCCTGATGATTGGTACCCTCACTGCCCTACAATGGTTCATTTATGATTCAGTTAAAGTGTACCTCAAGCTCCCTCGGCCGCCACCACCTGAGATGCCTGCCTCTTTGAGAGAGAGTTTGTCATTAAAATAGACTCCCAAACAGACCTACACTGTTGTGTTTTAGGGATCCCTTCGTTCTATAAGAAGTTCTGGTCCACTTTGTGTATGGTTATTGGTGGCCTGTGGACCACATTCTAGTTCAAACTAAGCTCTACAGTGCACAAACCATATATTAAGCGAGCTAAAACATCTACTTGCAGCAGCATTGATGCTTACAATTTAGCAGAATAATAGTTCTGGGATTTTGTTTCGGTATAAATTGTCCTCAAAATACATAATGTGGTTCATAGCTTTTACAGCCCTGTTCAATATGTTAAGGTTAACCTATTATTAGCAGGTGGTAGCTTAGTTGGTTGTTGATTCTTTGTCAAGTTCTTAATAGTATCAAATGGCATCCTCAACTGTGCATTCTAATTGAAGCACTATCAAAACCACATGCTCTGAAGTACTTTTCAATAAGTTTACATGTGAGGATCACAGTAACTGTCCAAAAAAGTCATTTACACATAAGAAAGAGATTTTGCTCTTGCAGCAGGACTGTGTGTCTTTTGAAAGGTTCGTTAAAATGCTTGAGTTTTTAGAATATTTGCAGTGCAGGGCCTAATATTCTGGAAATCAGCAAACTAGACCCACTCTGCATGCAGGTGGATGTGGCTCACGTACATCTTGGGATCATTGTCCTTATGTTTATTGGTCAACCAGTCTCGCTTTACGTAGGCATAGTAGCTTCTGATTTTCTTTAACAATCACACTTTTAGAATTACATTGACAAGCTCAGATAAAATGTGAATTTGTGTGTTACATTAATCCATATGTGTGTTACATTAATCCATGATGCATTTTTTGTTTTCCTATATGTTTTTTGTTTTCCTACATGTTCCTACATTGTTAACATAGCCAATAAAGTTGTTGTATGGAAACTGTTAACATAGCCAATAAAGTTGTTGTGGATAGAATTTACTAAAAAACATATTGGCAGTTTTACATTTCACACAAAGAAGGCAAGTTCCAAACTAATATTTCAGATATATGATTTTGCAAATGAATATCATTACCAATATCATGTCAGTATTACACAAGTGGTGTTCATTTTTCTCTGAAATCTGAATTCATAACCTACACAGGTCTAAAAAAGGTAAGTCAAACAGAATAGAGGGCCAACAATAAAAATTTAACACTTATACTATAAAAAGATACATGTATTTATTAGCAAAGAATTAAAAAACATATAAGGGCCCAATCATGTAAAAATACCAAAATCTTACACACAAGGGCCAATGGACTTGACCTGATGCATTTTGGCCTGTATAAGCCTTGTTCAGAGGTCAAACACAATGAGGACAAATATATCCTTTATACAATCATACAATTATTCAACATGGTTACAAAGTGGACCAGAAAAGAACTGTTCCGAAGTGAAACCACAGAATAAAAGTATAAATGAGGCCTCCAAAAATGCAATCACATGCCAAATGATATTTCACTGATAATAATTTCTGGTCCAGAAAGTGTCTTCCAATGATTATTTTTGCTGAGACAATTTTACTGAGGATGCTTTGACTAAACAATCATTGGAAGGTACTTTCTGGACTAGAAATTATTATAAGTGAAACATCATTTGGCATGTGTGTGTGTGTATATATATATATGAGAGAGAGAATATACTGAGTGTATAAGCCTGTCAGAGTGGAGTTTGGAGTTGAGAGACTGTTTGTAGCACCAAGCTTTGCCAGTTATATTTACAAGTTCCTTTCAACAACAGTTCAAAAAAACCAGAAACCTATTTTGTTCTTTATTAAATAAATCATTTTTTGTTTAAACGTATCCCAGAAATCAGTACAGTACATCCTCAGGGCTACATAGTCCTCTGAAGTGCCCAGACCCTAGGTCATACTACCAAAAGAGAGAGATTTGGAATTTTTAATTCCTGGTGGCAGCAGAAAACTACCAAGTTTATGTACTCAGAGAGTGTTTAAAGGTAAAACTGTTTCCCCTATAAGCAAGAATCTCACAGGCCCTTATATGTTTTTTTTAATTCTTTGCTAATAAATACATGTATCTTTTTATATTATAAACATTAAGTTTTTTATTGTTGACCCTCTATTCTGTTTGACTTACCTCTTTAGGTTCTCTTTTACCAAGAGCCATCCATTCTGTCCTAACTGGCAAAAAGTTTTCACACATGAATTTTTTTAAAAAAATGCATTTGAGCCTCTCTCATGTTGTTTGTCAAACCTAGACAGCAGAATAAAAAGTAGAGATATCACTCTGCAAACAAAAGTCCGTATGGTCAAAGCAATGGTATTCCCAGTAGTACTGTATGGCTGTGAGAGTTGGACTATAAGGAAGGCCGAGTGCCGAAGAATACATTCTTTTGCATTACATAAGAACATAAGAGATGCCAATGTTGGATCAGGCCAAAGGCCCATCCAGTCCAACACTCTGTCACACAGTGGCCAAAAATACCAGGTGCCTTCAGGAGGTCGACCAGTGGGGCCAGAACATTAGAAGCCCTCCCACTATTGACCCCCCCCCCAAGCACCAAGAAGACAGAGCATCACTTGCCCCAGAGTCCCTATCTATACTTTGTGGCTAATGGCCACTGATGGACCTCTGCTCCATATGCTTATCTAATTCCAGGGGTCTGCTCCGGGATCCCAGGTGCCGGAAATGGTGGCAGCAAGCCCCGCCCCCAGCTCCCCGAGCTGTGGCCCCCTGCCGCCTCCCCGGGCCAGCGCTGGAGCACTGCAGCCCATGGGAAGGCAGAAGAGGGCCCCCCGCCATCTCCCAGGGCCAGCACCAGAGCGCTGCGGCCCATGGGAGGGCAAAAGACGCCCCCCATCGCCTGCCAGGGCCAGCGCCGGAGCGTTGCGGCCCTGGGAGGCCAGAAGAGGGCCCCCTGCCGCCTCCCACGTTCAGCGCCAGGAGGCTACGGCCCTGGGAGGCCAGAAGACGCCCCCGCCGCCTCCCAGAGCCAGCGCTGTGGCCCGTGGGAGGCCAGAAGAGCCCCGCCGCCGCCTCCCAGGGCCAGCGCCGGAGCGCTGCAGCCCTGGGAGGCCAGAAAACGCCCCCTGCCGCCTTCCAGGGCCAGTGCCAGAGCGCTGCGGCCCTGAGAGGCCAGAAAACGCCCCCTGCCGCCTTCCAGGGCCAGTGCCAGAGCGCTGCGGCCCTGAGAGGCCAGAAGATGCCCCCCGCCGCCTCCCAGGGCCAGCGCCGGAGTGCTGCGGCCCGTAGGAGGCCAGAAGATGCTCCCTGCCACCTCCCAGAGCCAGCGCCGAATCGCTTCCGGTGATGTCAGGGGCGTTGCATATGCTAATGAGCTATTATGCTAATAGCCTAGTAGCTCATTAGCATACCATATGTTAATGAGCTCCTGCAGCTCTTTTTCTAGAAAAAAACCTCATCTAATTCCCTTTTGAAGCCGTCCATGCTTGTAGCCGCCACCACTTCCTGTGGCAGTGAATTCCTTGTGTTAATCACTCTGGGTGAAGAAGTATTTCCTTTTATCCATTCTAACCCAACCGCTCAGCAATTTCATTGGGAGTGCCCACGAGTTCTTGTATTGTGAGAAAGGGAGAAAAGTACCTCTTTCTTTACCTGCTCTTTCCCATGCATAATCTTATAAACCTCGATCATGTCACCCCTCAGTCGTCGTTTCTCCAAGCTAAAGAGCCCTAAGCGCTTTAACCTTTCCTCATAGGGAAAGTGTTCCAACCCTTTTATCATTCGAGTTGCCCTTTTCTGCACTTTTTCCAAAGCTATAATATCCTTTTTAAGGTGTGGTGACCAGAACTGCACACAGTATTCCAAATGAGGTCTCACCATTGATTTATATAGGGGCATTATGATATTGGCTGATCTGTTTACAATACCCTTCCTAATAATCCCCAGCATAGCATTGGCCTTCTTTATTGCAGTCACACACTGTCTCAACATTTTCAGTGAGTTATCACACTGTCTTTACATTTTCAGTGAGTTATCTACTAGAACTCCAAGATCTCTCTCTTGATCAGTCTCTGCCAGTTCAGACCCCATCAATCTGTATTTATATTTAGGATTTTTGGCTCCAATGTGCATCACCTTGCACTTGGACACATTGAACCCCATTTGCCATGTTGATGCCCACTTGCCCATCCTTGACAGATCCCCTTGGAGTGCCTCACAATCCTCACTGGTTTTCACCACCCTGAACAACTTTGTATCATCCGCAAATTTAGCCACTTCACTGCTTACTCCCATCTCCAAATCATTAATGAACAAGTTAAAAAGCAGTGGACCAAGTACTGATCCCTGCGGTACCCCACTGCTTACCACCCTCCACTGAGAAAATTGCCCACCTACACTCACTCTCTGTTTTCTATGAACTAGCCAGTTTTTGATCCATAAAAGGACTTGTCCTTCTATCCCATGATTTTTGAGCTTACTTAGGAGCCTTTGATGAGGAACTTTATCAAAAGCTTTCTGGAAGTCAAGGTAAATAATATCTATTGGATCCCCCTTGTCCACATGTTTGTTCACCCCCTCAAAGAACACTAACAGGTTAGTGAGACAAGATCTTCCCTTACAGAAACCGTGCTGAGTCTGCCTCAATAGGTTTTGTTCATCTATGTGCCTACTAATTCTTTCCTTAATAATGGTTTCCACCAATTTACCCGGTATCGACGTCAGACTGACTGGCCTGTAATTTCCCGGATCTCCCCTGGAACCCTTTTTAAAGATGGGAGTGACATTAGCTACCTTCCAATCCTCAGGAATGGAGGCAGATTTTAAGGAAAGATTACATATCTTTGTCAGGAGATCTACAAGTTCACATTTGAGTTCTTTCAGAACTCTCGGATGTATGCCATCTGGGCCTGGTGATTTTTCAGTTTTTAAGTTGTCTATCAGTTTTAGGACCTCCTCTCTCATCACCTCAATCTGACTCAGGTCTTCCAACACCCCTCCTGAAATCAGTGGTTCTGGAGTGGGCAAGCACTTCTCATCTTCCACAGTGAAGACGGAGGCAAAAAATGCATTTAGCTTCTCAGCCAT